AAAAAAAAGATATAGCCCTCTACTTTACTTCAATTTTTTTGGCAGGAATCAAGAAAAAAAAAAGAAATATTTGAATCCTATTTTATTTCATCCAAATTTATTAGTATAAGAATAAAATATAAAAAGAAAAAAGAATTATTACGATTTCATCGAAGTTGAAGAATCAAAAAATTTATCCTACGGATTAGGATAGATTAGCAAAATTAGAGAAGTTTTGATTAAATTATGATAAAAAGAGGAAAAATAATCGAATAATCGTTCTATGATGAAAATAAAATAACTGCCCTTTTTTGTGTTTTGTGCATAGCAGGTATACAACATATAATCAAATATAAAAATCCCTTAGAGGATTTATGAATTTGTAATAGATTTACAGAGTAAGAGGTTGTTGTTGAGAGATCTAAAACTGGAAAAGAATTTTAGAATTCTTATAGAAATGGGGAATTAGAGTCTAAAGAGAATTATGAACTAAAAATATCCATTAAGCATAGTCTAAAAAAAAAAAACCAATCGATTGATTTGATTCGTTTCAATTCATTGATTTAATCCAGTCCGGTAGAAATATCAGAAAAAAGATGGGAGTGCCTTTTTCGCAAACATGAATAGATATATATGGTATATGTTTATCGTATTATATTATTTATTTTTAACAGCCCCCTCACAAAAAAATTTCTTCGAGTCGGGAGGCTAAAGAAAAAGTGCTGAAAAAAGTGATGAAAAGTTTTCTATTTTTATAGCTAGTTTTCTAGTTAGAATTGATATTGTTCGTACCTCTCGAACAATCTAATATGAATAACTCGCTATTCGCTCGGGTTATCGGCCATAATAATTATGTAGGAGAGATGGCCGAGTGGTTCAAGGCGTAGCATTGGAACTGCTATGTAGACTTTTGTTTACCGAGGGTTCGAATCCCTCTCTTTCCGCACCTTCACCTAATTCGCCAATGTAACTGACTACAATGTATCAAATCAAATAAGAACAGATACTAAAGAGTTAGACCCTTCTTTGATATAGATTCTCTATTCCCAATTTCTTTTTAATACGGAATACGTAAAATAGCGTACAGGGGATGAAAATCTACCTACGGATCTATCATACATGAATAGGAGAAAAATAAAATTTCCGAATCAAATCCCTTACCCTGTCTTCCTTTACTTAACCTTAACTCAGGTGAAAAGGGAGCAGAACCCTTGTTTTGTTATTTTAGTTAGGTTTAAGTCTGACGAGAATAATATTCTACGACAAGCAATTCATTTATTTTCAAACCGACCCATTTCCTATCTATTATTTGATTGACTAATCCTTTATATTGTAATGTGTGAAGGGTCAAATGCTTTGGTAATTCCTCATGGGTGGATGAATCAAGATAATTTTGAATCAGAGTTCTAGATTTTTTGTTCATCCCTCGCTGAAATAATATCTCGGGGTTTGCAGCGATAACTTGGTATATCTACTGTACGACCATTAACTAAAATATGTCTATGGTTAACTAATTGGCGGGCTTGAGGAATAGTTGAAGCCATACCTAATCGAAAAAGGATGTTATCCAAACGCATTTCAAGTAATTGTAGTAAAACCTGACCTGTTGACCCTTTTGCTTTTCTGGCAATACGAACGTATTTAAGTAATTGTCGTTCTGTAAGGCCATAATGAAAACGCAATTTTTGTTTTTCTTCTAAACGAATACGATATTGAGATTTTTTACCGGAGCGCGATCGGTTTCTAAGATCGCTTCCGGCTCTAGGACTTTTACTAGTTAGTCCCGGTAAAGCCCCCAGACGGCGTATTTTTTTGAAACGAGGCCCTCGGTAACGCGACATAAAGACTCCTTATTAATTTGAATTTTATTGAAATTTCATAAACCTAAATTAAAACTGAACTAAATGAAGCGAAATCGACTGAAGGATTGTACTACAAATATTAATGAGATGAATTGGATCAATATCCATACTTTTTTGTATTGTATATAATGTATATTGTATATAATGTATACAAAAAATAGAAATTAAAATAAAATATATATAATATATAAATATATTAAATATAAAATATATATTAAATATAAAATATAAAAATTAAAATCTAAAAATTAAACCAAAAAAAGTTTCCTTTTTTTTTTTCTTGATTTATTCTGCAAAGATCTAACTCCTCCAATTTTATTCCTAATTGAAAGTTTCTACGACATAATAAACGGATCGTTGACCTTTGGAAAGAAAAGGGGAAAAAGCTTTTTCAATGTTCTTTGATTTCAAAAAAACATTATCAATCATGTAAAAAAGTAAAAAAGCAAACAAATAGAGAAAGCCGGCTATCGGAATCGAACCGATGACCATCGCATTACAAATGCGATGCTCTAACCTCTGAGCTAAGCGGGCTCAAATAATAGAAATTTTGTATCCATAGGAATTCAGCAAACTATTACGATCTTATCTATTAACTATCTATTAGTTATTCATAATTACTATGAATTATTAATATGAATTATAGACTAGAATTTAGAAAAACTAGAATTTTAAATTTTAAATGCCATATTTATGCCATACATAATTTATGCCATATTTAATATAATCATATTTAATATAATGATATATAATAATATATAATAATATATAATAATGGTAGATTCAATCTAATATTCAATCTAATATTGATAGAATATAATAATTAAGAATAGAATAATATAATTCTATTTGATTATATTTTAATCATTCTATTTGATTATATTTTAATCATATTAAAAATGATATTTTAATTTAATCATATTAATATTTAATAACATTATGTTTAATAATATTAAATTATAATAATATTATAATAATTTTATTATAATTATAAAAATTATAAAATAAATTATAAATATATTTATAATTTTAATAATTATTTATTATTTATCTCTATATTATATATTTTATTTTATTTTTATTCTATTATATGTTATCTTTATTCTATTAGTCTATTCTATTTAGTATTATATATATATATATATATTAGTATAATATTAGCATACTAAGTATAATATTACTATATTTTTTATTTTTATTTTTAGTATTTTTTAGTATATTTTACATTTAAATTACATATAATTTTTTATTTTTATATAGATATAGATATAGATTTAATTTAATAGATAGATTTAATTTAATATAGATAGATAGATTTAATATATATTTAATTTATTTATATTTAGTTTAGAATTATAAATAGAGTCTAATAATTAGATAATTATAGTGAAAATATTTTTATGCATTTATATATAATTTATATTTATATATAATTTATATATATATTATCATTATATAAATGATACGTTATAAGTCTAAATAATTAGAATGAAACTTTGTTTTTTAGACTAACTAATTCGAATTATCTTCGAAGTCGAAATAGAAATGAATGGAATAATTAGTTCTAGCTATTATGCTATTATACTAGAAAATAAATAATTAATAATGAATAAATTTTAAAATGAATAAATTTTAATAATGAATAAATTCAATTTTCATTTTTATTTTTATTTTTTTAGTTATCTTATTATGGTTATATAGGATAGTCTAATAAAAGAATAAGAATAAAAATAAAATTAAAGAAAAAAGAAAAGATGCAACCCATAGAAATGAAATCCAGATCATAATGAGAGATGAGAGACTCCTTTCTTTTGTTTTCATTCATAAAGGCGGAAGCTAAGACGAAAAAAAAAAAAAAATCGACCGTTCGAGTAAATTGCCTGAGAAAACTGAGAGTAAGGGGGGCATATATATGTTATGGAATATCCATCTATATTGAATTGCGAATACAGAAATGATAAAATATTTTCTGATTGGACCAAATAAATACGGGTCTCCGATAGAGACGAAAGAAGATAAACAAACAAGAAATAAAATAGGTAAAGACCCTTCGATATAAGAATCAGTATCTATATCTACTAAATTCAATACTAAATTCAACGGTTTTCGCATAAAAAGAAAGAAAATAAATAAATGAAAGAAAGGGGAAAGGAAGGGAAGGAGAAAGGGGGAAGGAAGTGCATCCTAATGAGATCCTAATCTCAAGACACAAAGGGGATATGGCGAAATTGGTAGACGCTACGGACTTAATTGGATTGGATTGAGCCTTGGTATGGAAACCTACTAAGTGATAACTTTCAAATTCAGAGAAACCCCGGAATGAAAAATGGGCAATCCTGAGCCAAATCCTATTATTTTACGAAAATAAACAAAGGTTCAACAAGCGAGAATAATAAAAAAGGGATAGGTGCAGAGACTCAATGGAAGCTATTCTAACAAATGGGGTTGACTGTTGGTAAAGGAATCCTTATATCGAAACTCCAGAAAGGATGCAAGATATACCTATATAAAATATAAAATAAATAGGTATACTAATGAAAAACCAAAAAAGACGACTCGAACCCGTATTTTTTTTATTTATATGCAAAATCAATTTATATGAAAAATAAAAAGAATTGTTGTGAATCGATTCCAAGTTGAAGAAAGAATCGAATAGAATATTCATTAATCAAATCATTCACTCCATAGTCTGATAAATCTTTTGAAAAACTGATTAATCGGACGAGAATAAAGATAGAGTCCCGTTCTACATGTCAATATCAATACCGACAACAATGAAATTTATAGTAAGAGGAAAATCCGTCGACTTTAAAAATCGTGAGGGTTCAAGTCCCTCTATCCCCAACCCCAAAAAGCCCGTTTGCTATCTATTTATTTTATCCTACCCTTTTTGTTAGTGGTTCAAAGTTCCTTATGTTTCTCATTCATCCTATTCTTTTCCATTTTACAAGCGTATCCTAGCAGAATTTTGTTCTCTTATCACAAGTCTTGTGATATGATATATTGTGATATATATATGATATACGTACAAATCAACACCCTTGAGCAAGGAATACCTATTTGAATGATTCATAATCCATATCATTACTCATACTGAAATTTACAAAGTCTTCCTTTTAAAGATCCAAGAAATTCCCCTTTTAATTTAATACTTTTTCGTTTTTTTTTTTGTTTTCATTTTTAAGTGACATAGACCCAAGTCATCTAGTATTATGAGGATAATGCGTCGGTAATGGTCGGGATAGCTCAGTTGGTAGAGCAGAGGACTGAAAATCCTCGTGTCACCAGTTCAAATCTGGTTCTCGGCGTATGATTAATTTGTATGAGTATCTACTCTACAAATTAATTGATATAGATCGACATAATACATACTTATCTAGCTAGCTATCTGGAAGTAAACCCTCTCTTTATTTATTTTTTTTTTTTTTTTTGTTTCTATTTTTTAGATGAGCAAAGAGTCTATTATAATTATAATGTAGTAAAAAAAATAAATAATGTAGTAAAAGAAAAAAATTTCATTATCTTTCCTCTTCTTTTTTATTTGTTCACGCTGTGGCTCCTCACATTCAAAAAGAATGTTAATACTTCATACATATTTAATTAAAAAAAAAAGATTAAAATAGTTGGTTGAAAGGCCCAACCAAAAGTCTGGTCTAGAGGAGTTCAAGGATAGAAATAACCAAGACTCATCTCAGCTACAGTACAAATAGAATCCGATTCCCTTTCATTTATTTATTTGTATTCTCTTTCATATTCCATTTCTTCATTCCTTTCTATGTGACTCTCTAGAGTTCATCTAAGTGATGTGCGCGATACAAAGTTCACGGTATAGAACCCTTGTTGTTCATCCTATTGTCTCGGCTCGTCCGAAATAAAATAAAAAGGTATCTTCAAAAATCGAGAATTTCAATGATGTATTGTCTTTTATTTCTTTTTATTTATTAGCCTATCCATAAGAATACGAATGAAACCTCAATTCCTCCGTTTGAGCTAGAAGAGAATGTACAAATATTCCTTGAATATTTGAAGTTGTAATTAGTTTCTTATCATTCAATGAGCGTCTTGTATTTCATAAAAATTGGGGGCAATGTAATCCTTACGTAAAGGCCACCCTATCCAACTTTCGGGCATTAAGATACGTTTCAGTCGTGGATGATTCTCATAAGAGATTCCCAACATGTCATAAGATTCTCGTTCTTGAAAATCCGCACTTTTCCAAACCCAGAAAACAGACGGAATTCTAGGGTTACTCCTTGGAGCAAATACTTTTATACATACTTCTTCCGGTTGATCTACACCATACTCTATTCTCGTAAGATGATACACACTGGCTAACAGTCCGCCTGGTGCTACATCATAAGCACATTGGGAACGTAGATAATTGTAACCATATACATATAAAATAACAGCAATGGAATGCCAATCCTCGGGCTTTATTTGTAAAGTCTCTATTCCTTGGTAATCGAAGCCCAAAGATCTATGAACTAGCCCGTGTTTGACTAGCCAAACAGACAAACGGCCCTGCATCTTTTTTATCTCTCCCGCACTTTTCTTTTTTATTTGTAATTTGTATAAGATAAGTATTTCACATTTACGATGAAATCGAATTTATGAAGATTAATTCGTTGTTTGTTATTCTGTTTCTGAATCCTACCTAATTCACTAATTCGTGGGAAGATATTGAACTTTTGTAGTTGAAAAATGTTTCAGGAGGAATCTCTGAAGTAGATGGTGGTTGATAGAGTAATCCTTGATTATAATTTCCAGTATGAGTACTGCGTACAAGACAAAACTTGTGATTGGTAGTAAAACACCGATCCCCCTGTTGAGATCTAATTCGATCTTCATAGATTTCGCGAGATATTTTCTTACGAAGTTTTGTTATAGCATCTATAACTGCCTCGGGTTTAGGGGGACAGCCTGACAAATAGACATCCACAGGAATTAGCTTATTGACTCCCTGAACAGTACTATAAGAATCAGTACTGAACATCCCTCCTTTAATTGTACACGTGCCCATAGCAATAACATATTTAGGTTCGGGCATTTTTTCATATAATCTCACTAAAGAGGGAGCCATTTTCATTGTTACTATTCCAGCTATTAAAATTAGGTCCGCTTGGGAATAATTATAATAACTATAAAAGTTTATTCAAAGTTGGTAATGATATACCAATAATAGCAATATTAGTAGATAAAAATTTTAAAAATCCTATTAAAGAACTGATAGGAAGAATACAATCAAATCTTGTATCAGGCACTATTTGATTTAAAGTAAAACAAAATTATTTTATTTCTATTAATGACCCATTAATAGATGACTGTCTTAGATTAAGAACAATGACAAAAAAGTCAAAAATTAGAAATGTGGCTCATGATCTGTCTATAAACCAGACAACTATAAATGAATTCACCAATCATACTTTTACATCTATTAAAGAAATATATTCCAATATTATAGAAATATTTGAACCAAGATCTTTTGATTCAAAAATCAAACCAAGTAATGAATCTTAGAAATCTATCAATACCCACTGGATGGTTATTAGAAGGTATTACAGAACCCATTCCTTCTAATAGAAAAACAAAACCTATGAAATTTTTTACATCAGGAAATAACTTTTTTTAAAAAATTATGAAAAAAGTAGTTTTAGTAATAATCTAGTTCTACCACTACCTTTTTCTATACCTTAATTCTCAAATAGAGATAATGAAGACAAAGAAAGTATTGCTAGTGAACAATCATTTGTTTCACATAGGCAATCTTTTTATTCTCAACCTTGATCAATAAGTATAAAAAATATAAATATTCAAATTTTTTCAAGAGATACTAATACTCAAAATCAAGGAAATTCAGTTTACGACATAGTAAAGTTTATTTTAAATTTCATATCTTCTAGAAATACTAGAAGAGATGATATTTGAAGTTTGGCTATAATCAACCAATATAAAATTGGTAATGATGAAGTAATTACATTTTCAAAATATCAACCAAAAAAGTATTATAATTATGTTGAAGCAGAATTTAGATTTAGAAAGTATAAACCATACTTATTGAATGTTTTGATAAACATTGGAGTTACTATATGTAGTTGTAGAAATAATGCTTTACCATTAAAAAAATAAGAGCCAATGAAACACCATATTGCAGTAATATGAATCCATGGAATAGAAACTATAATAGGATACAAAACAAAAAAATTTTCTATTTATTTTATGAATAAAAAATTCATAATTCCAAAATTTTTATGCTTTCCTTTTATGCATGGTGACATGTTATTAGGAAATAATTTTATATATAATTATTTACCTTTCTATTTAAATAACAATAATATTGTTTTTACCTTTAGTAAATAATTATAAACATATTTGTGATTCTGATTTCTACTCTAAAGCCAAGAAAATATAAATTAAATCAATTAGTGAAACACACCGGTTATAAAAATTTTAAAAGAAAATTTTAGTAAGAAACCATTAAAATTATGGTCTAGAAGTCCTTATTTTTGTAGTTTAAAAATTCTTGATTCAAAGAAAATAATTAGGGTAAAACCAATGTATATACTAAACAAGATATAGATGAATTTGATATACAAATCAGTGAACTTTTACAAAAAAAAACTTATAGAACCCATTACTTGTCCACATTCAAGTCCAGCATTTATGGTAAAAAATCATACTGAATAAAAAAAAAGAAAAAGCCAAAATAGTAATCAATTATTCAAGGCTTAATTAAAAATTAATATTTGATGGATATTTTATTCCTAGAAAAGATGTGTTAATAAACTTAGCAAAAAATGTTAAATATATTTAGTAAATTTGATTGTAAATCAAGATTTTGACAAATAATACTAACTGAAGAGTCAAAACCCTTGACAACTTTTAGTGCACCAAAAGGCCATTATTAGTAGAAAGTCATGGCTTTTGGACTTTGTAATGCTCCATAAATTTTTCAAAAATGGATGGACACCATTTTTAGGAAATATAAAGATTTTTTATTATATATATTGATGATATACTAATATTTTTTAGAACATTAAATAAGTATAGGAAACACGTAAATCTTATAGCTCAAGAATTTATAAAACATGGTATAATATTCAGCCTTAGAAAGTTAGAGCTTAAAAAAACTAATATAGAATTCTTATGATTAAATTTATTTTCAGATGCTTTTATTTTACAAGATCATATTATAGGAAAAATAAAAAAATTTCTAGAACAATTGGAAGATAAAAAACAACATCAAAGTTTTCTAGGTCTTATTAATTATGGAAGACAATTCATTAAAAATCTCTCTAAAAAAAAAAAAAGTTTTACAAGAAAAACTGAAAAAAGATATACCTTTTTTTTTGGACAAAAGGTGATTCTTATATTATTAAACAAATAAAATCATATATTAAATTTATACCTAAAGTATATTTTGTTAAACCAGGAGAATTAATCATTCTAAAAACAAATGCTTGAAACCAACATTAGGGATATGTACTTAAATCAATGGCACATAATTAAGAATTAATTTGTGGTTATAATTCAAAAAAATTTAAACCTAATGAGATACAATATATTATTTTTGAAAAAGAGTTACTAGTAATAAAAAATTGTCATAACATATAGATTTGAAAATATATAGCTAGACTTAACAAATTAAGTCGCCATCAATCTTTTTTAACTAGGTGTGATTGGTCAGCTAAGGAATCTCTCATCTTAAAGAGCTCTTAAGCTTGACTAAGGGTCCCTAAAAGAATAGATTCAGATCTATAAACCAAAACAGGGTTCAGGAGTTCGAAAGTTCGGTTACATGTGAAAAAGTTATAACACCCCCACATGCCCATTCGAAGGATGATACTGTATTATTTTAAATTTATCATAGGTTTTTGAATCAAATGATTTCAAATTTTTAATGTGAAATATTTGAAATAATTTATAAGATTCTTCCACCAATCTGATAGAATTCTTAAAAATATTTTCTCAGCTCAAGAGTATTCAAGAATCCCATTTGTTTCCTTAAAGAAGCTTCGTCGTTGGAAAAAGGATAATTTATTATTTTTTTGTTGAAAATATATTTAATTATTCCACCATTTTGGCCAAATTAGAAATATTTTCTCTTTTTGAGTTTCTAAATTTTTCATCATTTGGTCCAATTTAGAATTTTTATTTATTTATTTATTTCTAAATTTTTCACCATTTAGTCAATTTAGAAATATTTTCTTTTTTGGAATTTCTAAATTTTTCACCATTTGGGTCTATTTAGAAATTCTTTTTATTTTTTTTGTTATTTCTAATTTTTTCACCATTTGAGTCCATTTAGAAATTCTTTTTATTTCTCCTTTTTTTTGAAAGAAAATAATATGAAAATTATTTTTTATTGAAATTTTATTTAAATTCTTCCACCATTTTGATCAAATTTAGACAAAACTTCTCACCTAAGAATTTTATAAAAATTTATCATTTGAAATTTTTATAAATTTCATCATTGAATAATTAATATTTATTTTCAAAATTTATTATTTATTATTTTTTTATTTTTTAAAATTTATTCATGCAAAAATACTCTTAAAAATAAACAAACACATAAATAAAAAATAAAAATAAAAAATACCAAAAAAAATTGAAACGGCTCGGCTGAAGGGTTGGGTTTGCAGCTCGGCTTGGCGGCTGGGTTTACGACTCGGCTCGGCTGAAGCCAAAGGTAGGGACGCGGGTTGGAGGCGGGTCCAGCGCTCGGGTCAAGTCATCCACTAGAAAACGAATGGATCTTGAGGTTTATTAAGCTCCAAAACGATGTTGTTTTCAGTGGGTATAAAAGGCAAAAATTTTCATTTTTCTTTAGATGTCTCCCTTCCTTCACTCTCTCTTCCCCTATTTTCTCTCTCACTCTCTCTAAAACACCGAGAATCCAGTTGATATTTCACCAGAAATTGGAAAAAAACTTCGAAATCTGGAAAAATACGTCAGAAATTTCATGTTTGGTTAAAAAACTCGTCGGAATCTGGAATTTTTTTGAAAATTCTCTAGAAAAAAATCTCTAAATTTATGAAAAAATTCTTTAAAATCTTAAGACCACTTCTGCACCTTCTAAACAATTTTTTTTTCTTCTATTTCTCTCTCTTTCATGTCTATCCCCCAAGCTTAGCTAGGGTCTGTATTTATATGACTTTAGGGCCACAGAATCTAAATTTAAATAGAAATCCCAATTCCCTTCGATTTTTTAGTCTCACTCAACCTCACCCAATTTGTCCAAACTCCTCAACCCAGTGTTTTACACCAATTCAACCTCTTTTTTTGTGTTTTCCATTTTTATTATTTTTTAATTAATTAACAAAACCAAAAAGTAGACCCCGGATAGATTGGGTGTCTACAGTTGTCCCTTTTTGCATATTTCCTGCGAAACAGGAATTGTGTAAAGACATAAACAACCTAATCAATTTGAAATCCTTTTTCTTTTTTTTTGCAAAAAGTAAACAAGCTCCTTTAAATAGAGGCTCAACAACTTTTGAAAATAAAATGGCTCTTTTAAACAAAGGCACCACAACTTTAGAAAGTAAATTGCTCCTCTAAACAGAGGCACCGCAACTTTGAAAAATAAATTACTCCTCTAAACAGAGGCACCACAACTTTAAAAAAATAAATTGCTTCTCTAAATAGAGGCACCATAACTTTGAAAAGATAAAATTACTCCTCTAAATGAGGCACCATAACTTTGGATAGTAAATTGCTCCTCTAAATAGAGGCACCACAACTTTGGAAAGATAAATTGCTCCTTTAAACAGAGGCAACACAACTTTGAAAAATAAAAGGCTCATTGACAATCATGTTCAGATGACTCATAGATCGTGTCTAATAAAAACTCAAATATTCACAATTTGAGTTTGAAATTCAAAGGTTTAAATTCACAAAAATCTTCAGATTTGCCATAATTCATATGAAATTTTATTCTCAAAATTTTAGTTTTGTCAGATCTCAAGATTTGCATTTGCAAGACTATCATTCGAATTTTGGAGATTCGCATCCAAAAGTTTAAAACTTTTTATTCTAGTTCAAAGATTCACATCTGACGAACTTTAGGTTTCACACCTCAAATATTCTTATTTGAAACT